AGGTTTTGAAGGGGAAATATTTCCCTCGTTCATCTTTGTGGGAAGCAAAAATCGACCCTAATGCAAGCTATACGTGGAGATCTATCCTAGGTGCAAGAAAGCTTGTTGGGGAGGCAAGCTGGATTATTGGAAATGGAAGAAAGGTATCTGTATGGAACGATAAATGGGTCCCAAACCTTCCTGGGGAACGTCTGACATCGTGCCCTGCTTCAGAGAATGATCGAAAAACCTGGGTATCTTCTTGGATTTCAATTACAGAGGAGGGTGGACAAAATTGGGTTATTAATCATATGCTGAGCTCTTTGGAGATGCATGCTATTGAAGCTATCAGACTTCTAAGGTGGGATCAGGAAGATATCTTAAGTTGGAATCACTCAAAGAACATCTCTTTTACTGTCAAAAGCGCTTACCATCTTGAAATGAATCGCAACAAAGGTAATATCGGCTCTTCGAATCATGTGAATGACCAAGCCATATGGAAGAAAGTCTGGAGGGTAAAAGTTCCCGAGAGAGCAAAAAATACGATGTGGAGGGCAATGTGTGGGGGGCTCCCTACTCGTGCAATTCTCGCCAACAGAGGTATGCATATCGATGACATTTTCCCTTGATGTGGTGAAAATGTGGAAACCATCATGCATATGGTGGTGCGTTGCCCGAAAAGCCATCTCTTATGGCGTCTTTCCCCCCTAAGACTGGAGGTAGATGAGTGCTGGGCAGATTTTAATTTTTTTATTGGGTTTCTGCCATGATCAAAGTGTGTGTTCATACTAATAGATGGAATTTACTGCTCATGTTTGTCTGGAAAATATGGAATTTAAGGAATTTGTGGGTTTTTGAAAAATTAAGGATCGACCCTGCAATTGCAGTTATAAGACTCTCAATTTCTTTAGGGAATTCGAAGCTGCCCAATTAAGAGACTCTCCTGCCCCTTCTGCTAATCATGTTACTTCTTCTAATAGTGTCTGGAAACCTCCTATTCAAGGGATGTTCAAGCTAAACTCTGATACTACAATTTGCAAAGATGGCAAGGTGGGGGTAGGTATGGTAGTTCGGGATCATTGGGGTGATGTGTTAATGTCCGGAGGTAAGCCTTTTAGCAAAGGGTGCAGCGTCTTGGAAGAAGAAGCTGAAGGCTTGCTCTATGGGATCCTTCAAAGTTTTGAGGCTGGTTTTTGTAATTTAGAAATCTCGACTGACTGTCTACCTCTCCTGAACCTCATTGAATGGAAGACGCAAGAGCGAAGCCCAGTACAGATGATTGTCCATGATATTCTTAATGCTACTATCAAGTTTGTGTTCTGTTGTTTTTCTTTCTTTCCTAGGCATTGTAATAAAGTTGCAGACTGCATTGTAAAACTCTCTCTGTCATGGCAGTATTTATGGTGAATGGATGCTCTGCGATTGTATATTTCTGCTCTTGTAATTGTCTGTTGAAAACACTTATGATTTTTATGACCAAGTGTATTAATAATGTGATTGCTTGGAAGTTGTAACTATAAACAGGCCTAAATGTATAATATGTTGAGTTTTTCACTCTTGTCAAGCAAGCAATAGATGATTAAGATTTGCTAAGCAAATAGATGTCTCAGATTTAGTGTTGGTGTACTGGTTGAAGAAGTATTGTTAGTGTAGCATATGATGTATGATTATTTTTTGGCATGTTTGCAAGCAAGTGCTATTATTGACTGATTCATGTTTTATTAACAATACAAGGGGGTGTATTTTACGAGTTTGGGATCATGCATCAGCACTGCGACCATGCTTATGTCCTTTGTGTCGCCGTCCCATTAGTTTGTTAATACCTACTGAATCTTCCCGGGAACAAAGGGCTAATCCAGAAGTTGCAAATATTATAGGGAGGATTGAATTATATAACCGTCAATATGGTGAACGATCCAGTGATCTCATGCAGGTACTTATTTTTATAAAGGTTACATTAGAGAACTTATAGTGAATCTTTAATTATGAAAGAGTATACTATATAAATTGACGTTTTGTACTCATTAGACAAGTCTTTAGGCTGGTTTGTTCATATTTTTGCATAGTGTTGAGCAGGAGCAGTAGGTATAATTGAGATGGTATGACCTACATTTGTAATTTCTTACAAAATATTGGGAAATAAATTACGCATTCCTTGATTAATCAAAATTCATGAAAATTTCAAGTTTTTGTTCAAAATCAAACAAGATTAATAAATTCCTAGGAATTGTAAGTGGGAAGCATTTTCCCACGTATATGATTTCCTATAGTAATTTACTTCCCATATAAATCAAACAAGCCCTAAATAAACAACAAAATGTATATTAACAAGCGTAAAAGTTAAAATGTTACAAATATAAAAGACTCGCAATATTTGTAGAATGATTAAGAAGAGCCAGAAATAATATATTATGACTATACGAGGGTTATGTTAGAAATCTTAAGCGGTTTATGTAATATGGCCTCCGTTTTCATCAGATATTTAAGTAATTATTAAGTTTATTGTTCCCATATATTTTTAGTAAATTGCTCAGTGGGTGGTTGTAAGAATACCATGCTTAAAGAATGAGAGAAATTACTAGTTTGTGTTTATTAAAATTATAAAGGAAAATTTTGGATATAGATAACACAAAACTCATATAAAAACAAACGGAGTACACGAGCAGTGGCGGACCCACCCTTGTGTATGGTGGGTTACGTGACCCAGCATAAAAAGGTTAAAATAATAAACATTGTAGTAGTTAGTTGTATGTTGCTCACTAGTCTAGTGGTTAAGGCTTTACATTTCTATTCAATGAACATGGGTTTGATACCCATGGGCAGCATTTTGGGCTCAAACCCTACCTTATTAGTTTTTTGGGTTCCTTTCCTTCTCTTTTTACCTTCTTAATATTTATGTTTTCTTTATTAACTTCATCCCTCAAATCCTATCTTCTTAGTTCTCACTAGGTAACTTGTTAAAACTTATCATTTGAAATCTTTTGGGTAATTTCATTGGTCATTTGTCATTATCTGTCACAAGTCCTCCTCCTCTCCCACAAAATATTTAATATTTTCGGAGTAATTTTTTTTTTTAAAAAAATTAGCTTTTAAAATATTAATGTAATAATTATTGATTTGTATGCGGTCGATGGGAGACGGTGACCCAACATCCGTAAAATCCTGGATCCGCCACTGTTTACGAGAGTTCATATTCATACATTCCTTTGATAATCATATCATCCTTTGATAATTATTAGTTGAGTAGTGATAATTGTAATTGATCCATTTTCAACCTACAGCTCTTCATATGATATTATGATATAGTCCTATGAGTAATTTACATAGTTTATGACAAATTTGGTATAGTATATATACTTTAAACTAATTTTGAGTTTCAACCATAAGCTAACTAATAGAATACACCAATCACGTGCTACAACCAGAACCTTAAGCTTTTGTTGAGTTTATGCGGAGCCACCGTTACAAAAAGATCATGGGCTCAAATTTGCGTTTATTGTTGCTAGTATAAGATTAATGTGACTTGTGTAAAAAGACGTCTTGTGAGATTTTGTTAGATTTGTTCTAATATGTTATAACATATAAATCATTTTTAAGAAATTAGAATAAAGAATTGAAGTGGGTTTGTGGGTCACACAGTTTGGAAACTTTGAATATGTACTTGTAAGCATAACGATATTTCAGCAATGTGGACCAAAGTTTAGGAAAAATAAATGCACCAAAATTTTCTCTTTAAAGAATAGTATTTACAACACAAAGCACGCCAATTTGATAATATCAACTACCTTTGTAAAGGTGGGGGCAATAGTGCAATACATTTCTGTTACCTAACATTGATCCTCAACTTTTTTGGTTTTAACAGGATCAAAACACAAATAAAAATCTACATAACATTAGCAAATTAGCTTGACTAATCCGGTTGTATCTTGCAATTTGGTGCACCCTTTGACACAAACTCTGTCACGGAGTACTGGTCAACAGACCCAACATCTAGTCGTTTGTACTAAGTAGAAATCCGTTGATAAGAAATCTAGGTTTGTAGTGAGATGTGGCGGGGTAGTGCTAAAGTCAATGTTAGAAGTTGTCATTTCAAATTTGCATATTCCACGGATATTTAATTTCTTGATTGAGGACTTGTGGTTGAGAATTGTACAGCATTAGAGTAGCTTAATCACAAGCTGTTATTCACATGCTAGTCTTTATTCAACTTGAAACTCGTCTTAGATTGTACTCTTACATTTTAATTGGCTCTGGTGGTGTGAGATTTGGATAATATCTTGGATTCTGATCTTGTAAAATTAGTTGTGACTTGCTTTTAATCTTGATCTTTTTATGGAGAACGGGCTATCAAGCCTCATTAAAGGACTAAAAAAAGAGTTTTAAGTGTTAATTCGAAACAGTAAACAACTCCCCAAAGTTGTACAAAACAAGGTTGGAATTTAGATTATGGACCCAACATGATGCTCACCGTGCACTAAAAGAGCACACGTGCTTATGTAAAAGAATATGGAATGATAAATGAACATGTTTCATGCTGTTTTATATTATGGCTATTAGGCTATAAATGTTTAATGCTAAGCAATGATACACTTGATTGTTTGTTTTTGTAACTACATGGTCATTTTTATCTTATTTCAGTGAAGAAATTAGTTGAGCGTGCCATAAAGTTGAATACTTTGGATTACCATTACTAAGCAAACAGTTACTTATTTGTATGAAAGGAGTTGAGCACATCATCTAACTTTTGGCTCTATTTCTGATGAACTCTATTGCAGTACCCTTTTGTGACACTCGTTGAAAACATTATATGGTTTCTATTATACTGGCTCCAAACTATTTGACTCAAGGGGAATGATAAAACATTTTATTTTATAATCGTATAAGGATATTATGGAAAACAGGGAAGTATTTAAGTAGGTAGATTATATTAATAAAGAAATCTCTCCTTAAGTGAATATTTGTGCTCTTACATTGAGCTGCTGTGCTTCATTGTTCTTGATATAAGACATTGGGTGGTCAACGATATGAGTACAATTGTGTCGTATTGCTGGGAAATGTGCAGGATGCCAGTGAAGACATTCTTTTGTGCATAATATTTTTTTTATTTTTAAATTTAGAGTCTTCCTTTCCTGGAGATAATTCTAACTTCTAAGTACTAGCTGCTCTGAATTATATGCGGCGTAGAAATTGTTATCAGATCTGTAGAACTCTACTTGTGCTGTTATGCACTTAAAATGAAACATGTGGTGCAAGTACAGTATTCCCACCAGGCGACCATTGCGATTTATTAGATTATTTTTTATGCTAATCGACTTGATTATACAGGGCTCCCTCATATTCATTTTCTAACTTAAACCAATACTCCTTGATCCGTTTCCCCCGTCTTCCACTTTGAACATCATCCAGCTTCAGCTTCTCTGATACAACTCCATGCATTTAATCACACTGGGTTCATTGTTTTCTTTGCTGTTATTGTTGACCTGTAATTCTTTACACTTTTCTCTGTATGTTTCCTTAAAAAAATTTCTATTCTGATGAACTATCTTAAACTTAACAAAATAATGGCTATCGTTTACAGATTATGATTATTGACTTCAAACTTATCCTAGTGGGACTGCTACTGCCCACCTAATCAACAGCTTTCACACCCCAAAAGGAGCCAAATTAGCCAACTAAGGCTTTTAACACAATTCAATGTATTGCAATTGCCTCCTGTCAGCATGGCAAGGCGTTTGATTTGACTTGATTTTTGCTCTCATCCTTTTACTTACAGGAAGCAGGTAAAGACTTTAGGCAAGTTTTTCACATTCAGCTTCTTATGGGGTTTCTTCCAATGGTTCTTCACAGGAGGAGATACTTGTGGATTTACAAATTTTCCGACTTTTGGCCTGAAAGCCTTTAGCTACAAGTATGTATATGAATTTTGTTCTGCAGCTGATCCTTTGAGTTAATTAATGATTTTGGCAATTATAGTTCCACATCTTATATAAATATCTCTCGTGCTTAAAATATCTAAATTTTTAACGAGCCACGAGTGATGTGAGTTGAATGGATACATACTGTTTGGCAAGCTGAATGATTTTTTTATTTCTTCAACTATATTCAAGTTAACGCATAATTCAGTTCTGACCTCTGCTTGCTTTTGTGTTGGGATGTAATCACAGGTTCTATTTTGATTTCTCAGCAACTTATGTAGGTGTGGGTATGATATGCCCATATCTTATTAACATATCTTTGCTACTTGGAGCAATATTATCATGGGGAATCATGAGGCCACTTATAGAGACGAGGAAGGGTGTCTGGTATGATGCAAGCCAAACAAAAACGATGCATGGTTTGCAAGGTTACCAGGTACTTCTTGTTTCATTTTTTTCTGCATACTCCAAAAGAAAGATGTTCATAGAAAGTTTATCTCTGATTTTCTTGCAGATATTTATTGCCATAGCTATTATCCTTGGTGATGGACTCTACAACTTCATTAAAGTCTTTGGACGCACGATTTTTGGTTTGTACAAGCAATTTCAGGCCAAAGATACAGGCACTATTCTTCCTTCTGATCATTCAGATACTGATGACTCTTCATTACAGTCATATGACGATCAACGAAGAACTCGGTATTTCCTCAAGGACCAAATTCCAAATTGGGTTGCTGTATGTGGCTATGTTGCCATTGCGACAGTATCTATCATTACACTGCCTCACATCTTCCATAGTCTCAAGTGGTACCACTCCTTAGTCATGTATATAATTGCACCAATGTTGGCCTTCTGTAATGCTTATGGATGCGGGCTTACTGACTGGTCCTTGGCATCAACTTATGGAAAATTGGCTATCTTTGTTATTGGTGCTTGGGCTGGTGCTTCGCAGGGTGGGATTGTCTCTGGACTAGCAGCCTGTGGGGTCTTGATGAATATTGTTTCCACAGCATCAGATCTTTCCCAAGACTTCAAAACAGGATATATGACACTAGCATCTCCCAAGTCAATGTTTGTGAGTCAAATAGTAGGTACAGCAATGGGTTGTATAATCTCTCCTTGTGTCTTTTGGCTTTTCTACAAGGCCTTCCCTGATATAGGCGAGCATAGTTCACAGTATATGGCACCTTATGCCTCCATATACAGGAGCATGGCCACTCTTGGAGTTGAGGGATTCGGTACATTGCCAAAAAATTGTCTGACACTATGCTTGATATTCTTCGCTGGAGCTGTGGTCATCAACGGGATTAGAGACTTTGTGGGGGAAAGATGGGCAAGATTTATACCAATCCCAATGGCGATGGCTATTCCTTTCTACATTGGAGGTTACTTTACCATTGACATGTGTGTTGGTAGCTTAATACTTTTCTTATGGCAGTGCACTAACAAAGCCAATGCTGACGCATTTGGACCTGCAGTGGCTTCTGGGTTGATTTGTGGAGATGGAATATGGACTCTGCCAAGTTCTATACTTGCTTTGGCTGGTATTAAACCACCCCTCTGCCTTCAGGTTGTTCCTAGGCTACATAGTTGAAAATTTTACGATTTATTCCTTGTCATAGGCGCAAAGTGTTACTGTTATTTAGGTTTACTAGCTATACCAATTGTAGATTCTTGTAAGCTGTTTCAAATCTGAACACTATACACGTTAAACTTTATATGTACTTTTTTGAAGGAAAAATTCTTATATGTACTTCTGTGTTTGAGCAAAACTGCCATTTACACGGGTAATACAGTGAAATCTGTTACAAAAGATCATTTGCTTGATCTGACTAATATTACTCCTTTATCTTTATTCATCTTCAAGTATACTATATTGAAGCCAAACATGTAAATAACTATAATCGATGATCAGCATTCATTTACTTTCTTTTCTCATATCCTCTCTAAAAAAAAGGTCTATCTAACAAATGAGTAACATTTGATAAACTCCATCAATGAGAATTCCAAGCTAATTTATAGAAGGCTTCAGTACTTAAATTGAATTTATAATAAAGATTAAGCCGCTTTATGATAATCCGTGGTTTATACACACGGGTGTACAATGCTCATCATACACCCGGATAAATAAAAAAAAGGCGGAAAGAACATCCTGTGTTTCATAAAGAACATACATGTATTTGACAAAGAACATGTTTGTATTTGACAAAAACATGCATTACCGAAGAACATAAAGATATAATAAAAAGAACGAGATAAAAACTTAATAAAATTTTCTGAAAAATTACACATTATTAACGGAAAAAATTTAGAGGTGATAAAAAATCGAGTAGGGCCGGGCCATATCATAATTTCTCGTGCCCAAACCCGTAGAAAAGTAGCGGGTTTTGGGCTTTTTTCGAACCCGGTTCGAGTTTTAACTAAAAATGCATTTTTAGGTTTGTCTAAACCCACCCTATTTCGGGCCGGATTGGGTCGGGAAGCGAGTCTTGCCAATGTTGATCAACTCTTAAAAAATCCTTACCAAAAATATCATTTCCCCAAAAAATAGTTTTCTATCTCTCCAAAAAAAAAATTCAACTTCCCATAATAATTTAGTTTTTTTTACTCTAATATTATTTTCAATTAAAAATGATTTAAGATTTCAATATCAAATTTCAAAATAACATATGTTAAAAGAACATAATTTATATTGTAAAGTACATATAGTTAATACCTAAATAACACACTAATCAAACTCAAAGAATATATGATAATAAAAGTAATTTAAATATGACATATGATAATAAAAATAGAATTTGAACGTCATTACGACCTTAAAGAACAAACACGCCAAATTCAAAGAACATACTTTGTATTGTTAAACCCAAAAAAAAAAAATATGTTTATCAACATATGTTAAATAACATAAGTTATAATGTGAAGAACATATAATTTTACTCAAAGAACACACTGATCACATTCAAATAACATATTAAAGGTATGTTCTTTGTCAAACATAGGTATGTTCTTTATCAAACATTATATGTTTTTTCCGCCTTTTTTGTTTACCCGGGTGCACCATGTTCATGGTGCACCCGGGTGTATTATCTTATTTTCACTTTATGATTCATCATCTTCTCATAATTTCCTTCTTACCCTTGTTATTTCATTTCATACTTGAAGCTAAGTTGACTAACTGTATCAAGGGCTGTTGAGATACAAAACTTAAGCATTAATGAGTTCACGGACAGAAGTCTTTGACTCGTTCACAGAGATGTCGACAAATTCAGACAGTATAGACCTGAACTCTTCTCCTGAGAGTGTTTCTTTCTCCAGCAAAACGTCTACAAGTTTATCAATTGCATCTCTATTATTTCTGATATGTTGCTTCGCCACTTCATAAGCTGTCTCAATTATACGACGTACACATGCATCTATGTCTTCTGCTAGCTTTTCCGACATTGAATTTCTTGCCAACAACCTCAGAACTACATCGCTTTGCTGAACTGCTGGATCAATCAAAGCCCACGGTCCAAGTTCTGACATTCCAAACATTGTTACCATCTGTAACATATGAAAATTTGACAAGATTAGTCAAGATTTCATGATTTTTAGTATAATTCCTTTTAGCCTCCTTGAAGAAACTAATCATATTCAGAGTATATATACCTGTCTAGCTATTTGTGTAACTTGTTGCAGGTCTCCTGCAGCACCAGTAGTGATTTCTGGTTCACCAAAAATGACTTCTTCTGCTGCCCTTCCTCCAAGACCGCCTACTATCCTAGCAAACAATTGCTTCTTTGACACGAGAGTTGGGTCTTCATCCGGCATGAACCATGTAAGACCTCGTGCTTGACCTCTTGGTATCAGAGTGACTTTCTGTACTGGATCATGTCCTGGAGTCAAAGTCCTGCAGATTTGCGTTTGCAATTCAGATAAGCCCTTTATAATTAGAGGAAACTGATAATATTTATGAATTCCTATTAAAATACATTTTAGTTTTTGTAATTTACACCAAAGAAACAAGATATAATTGGTACTATGCCAAAGAATAAATGTTAAAACAATATCAGTTTGAATGCTACTTACGCGCTCACAGCATGTCCAACCTCATGGTAGGCCACCAAAATCTTGCTTTTCCCATCAGTCATTGTGGTTCCTTCCATTCCTGCCACGATGCGATCAATTGAGTCATCAATCTCCTTTACAGTAATCCTTGCTTTTCCTCTTCGACCAGCTAGAATGGCAGCTTCATTCATAAGATTGGCCAAATCAGCTCCACTGAATCCAGGAGTTTTCATGGCAACAACACTAAGTGAAACATCCTTATCTAGCTTCTTGTTACTGCTGTGGACCTTTAATATTTCTTCCCTTCCTTTCACATCTGGTAATCCAACTGAGACCTGTGAATACAAACCACTTTAGCAACCGCGTAAAGCTAATCTTCCTAATGTATGCACTTCTTCTCACTTATTCAGTAAAAATGTTTGAAAAGAAGTAACTTTGTTGGGACATTTTAAAATAGCCTTCTTTTCCCACCTTAAATAAACTTCCATTATTTTTCAGTCAAACATGTTAGTTATTATTGTACTAGAATAAGAAAACCAGAGCAAACCTGCCTGTCAAATCTTCCGGGTCTAAGCAATGCCTGATCAAGTATCTCAGGCCGATTAGTAGCTGCAATAACAATAACTCCAGTATTCCCAGCAAAACCATCCATCTCAGTAAGCAACTGATTCAAAGTTTGCTCTCTTTCGTCGTTCCCTCCACCAATGCCCGTCCCTCTTTGCCTCCCAACAGCGTCGATCTCATCAATGAAAACCAAGCAAGGAGCATTTTCCTTGGCCTTGTTGAACAAATCTCTGACTCTGGAGGCCCCAACTCCTACAAACATCTCAATGAATTCAGAGCCTGAGAGGGAGAAGAACGGCACTCCTGCCTCGCCTGCTATTGCCTTAGCTAGCATGGTCTTCCCTGTTCCTGGTGGTCCAACCAACAGAACTCCCTTAGGAATTTTTGCTCCTACTGAAGCAAACTTCTCTGGGGTTTTTAAGAACTCCACAATTTCCTGAAAATCCTGCTTTGCCTCATCAACTCCTGCTACATCGTCAAATGTTACTCCTGTGTTTGGTTCCATCTGAAACTTGGCTTTGCTCCTGTTTTACAACATACATGATAATTATGTCATGAATTTTGCTACATTCAGATGTAATAGTTCAATTTGTGGTAACTGCTAATTTATGCTGTAACTGTTTTTCAGCTTCTATAACATTAGATGGTTATGTCCTGTTTAGAAATTATGTGATGGTCATTAAATATCTCAGTTGCTTGCTACTCTTACAGTGTAGCATGTAAATTTGTAAAATTAACAGCATTTTCTAATTTGCTTGTGCTACTAATCAAGTTTACAACCGGTGCATTTGAACTTTAGATATATAAGGCCAAATTAAAATCAGATACCATTTAACTCATAGTGTAACTTTTAAATTTGATTATTAATGTGATCCTTTTAACTTGTAAGATATCAATTTATAATACAAATGATAATGTTACTTCTGTCTTGTGTTTCAAAAGCTACAACACTTTTGACTTGCTTGTGACACTATTTGAAAACCCCACTTCAACTATCATTTGTAAATTATTTGCAAGTTTAATTATATTTATGTGTGATTTTATTATAAAATTTTAAACTTTTTAAACGGAGGTGGTAGATTTTATGTTACTCTCACAAAAATCTCTTAGCAAAATATGACAACAAATCATAACAAAAAATTGTGGCCTTATTTTTTAGTGCTAATAAAAATCCAGAACAATCTTATTTGAAAAAAAAAAATAATTTTAACACAATAAACTAATAATTTAAAAAAAAAAATAAAAAAGAGAGAAGGAAAAAAATTACTCACCTGCCAAGCCCAAAAGGCAAGTTTGGGCCTCCACCAGGAATATTGGGCCTGGAAGCCCTAAAAAGCAAATCACCCAAAAAAATCAAAGGAAAAGCAACATTACTCAATAAATCAAGTATTGCAACTTCCATATTAACCTCTGGAGGATTAACAGCAAAATCAACATTTTTATCCTTCAACTTTCTCACTAATTCTGGTGGTAAACTAGGCAGTTCAACCTTAAGCCTTTGTATTTTATGAAGGGCATCATTGTAAATTTCTACGACCGCAGACCGGCCATTCTCAATCAAGTCCACCTTCCTCACTACACCTTCATCCAAGTACTTCAAGAAACTTGAGTATGATATCCTATTAGAAGCTAAATCTATTGGGCTTGGTGGACTCGTGACCTCCGCGTTTGCTGGGTTGGGCTTTCCACTTAGTAGCCCAGCTCCAGCTCCTCCAACTAGGCCCAGCCCACTTGATGATAAGAGCTTTCTTCTAGGAATTTTTGTATGTTTAATGTCTAAATTTGTTGTACTATAACATGGGTTTTGATCTTTGTTGCTTGCTTTTGGTAATTGTGTTTCTTTTGGAATATCTTGAGGTTTCCATTTTGGGAGATTGTAGCGAGAGTGAGATGGTAAAGAGAGTGAAAGAGCAGGTGCCATGTTTTTACACTAATTGAGTATCAAAGCTAGTACTGAGTAATATTAAAACTTAACAACAAACACGACTTTTACTGACTACCAAAATCAGTTGCTAAATGCAAATATATATGAATTTACAAAAAAAATGCAACACCGCGATTTTTGTTGTATGTTTGTATGAAGATGAAGGGAAAGGGAAATTTGGTATATAAATAGAAGAGTTTAGGATGATTCTAGGACATGAACGAACTTTAATTAGGAAGTTGACATTAGATATAATTCTTAGATTTTTACATAATCCAATAATTCATTTTCTATAAAGAAGCATCTGGATTTGTCTCAGTTTCTTTATAGTTTGGAGCTTTGCAACTATTACTAAACTAGTATTAGTGACAAAAGTGTCTTTCTTTAACTTTGATTTGTAACCATAAGTTTGGTTATAGTGCTACGGGCCATACACTTGGGAAGCACTTGAGCAAAATGCTGGGGCCTTAGCTTTGTGGTTTAGCTATCACTATCAGTATATATGAGAACAACCTTTGAACGTACTTTGTCAATGGCAAATTTAACAAGGACAAACACAACTTTGGTTTAACAAAATCAACCCAAATATTTATATAATCTATAAAAAGATCATAAATTACAATTTTTGTTAACCAAAAATGTCTTAGATCAGTTAGATGTAATTTGACCTGCTCATGCCCTGGGTTGGGTTATCACATGGGCCAGTTAGGTACAACTTGAAAATCACTTGACCTAACATCACAAATCCGCTACATGCCCAACATATAATGATCGTGAGACATGTCAATGAGCCACGAACCTTTGGATCAGTGCATGACGTCATTTCATGAGTTCCACATGAGCTTGATGGACCAGGCTAGCTAGTATAGTATGGTGCATCGGTTTGCATTTCAACCCATTTTCAACCCATTTTTGTATCAGAAGGTTTCTGGTGTGGCCAGCCACATGGTGCGGCACGGTACCACGTCAGCAAACAAGTAACCCACAAACAAAGTAATCTATAACTGACCTAGTAACCCCTAACCAAGTAATCTCTAACTGACCTAGTAACCCCTAACCAAGTAATCCCTAACTGACCTAGTAACTCCTGACCTAGTAACCCCTAACCGACCTAGTAACCCCCGACCAAGTAACCCCGGACCCAGTAGCCCCTGATCAACTTAGTAACCCTGGACCAGGTAACCTCTCCGTACCCACTACCCTACGCCGCCAACAACCACACAGCCACCAACTAGCGTATCCATTGCCCCACGCCACCACCACAATTCACCGAACCCATAACCAAACCACACCTAAACCGCACCCAACCAGACCCACACCACGATAGCACCCAAATTAAACCACACCCAAACTTTAGATCCAACCAAAACACTAACAAATCTCCACCACAACAGCAACCAAACCTTACCCAACCCTTTTCCCACCACAACAGCAACCAAACATTACCAACCAACAGATCCCCACCCAACCACACCCACACCACGATAGCACAAACACAAAATAACCGTAAAAGAAAAATTACAAATCGTAAAAAAAAAAAAAGAACAAATACCTTAAAATTTAATAAATGCTTCAAATTTCACTTTGAATATGGTTAAAAAGGCCAAATTCAACCATGAAAACTCTAGATCATGGCTGAATTTGGCCTTAAAAACCTCTAGCTAGTTTTCCGGCGACGGAGTACAAGAAGCTCCGTCCACCATTACAATTGCTGCACCAAATAACTTGTTTGGATGGGTTAACTGGAGAAGAAGAAAAGAGGAGAGAGATGAGAGAGAAAGAGGACATGGAGCTCGGTGAAGGGGTGGGTTTGGGTGGGCTAACTAGAGAAAAGAGGAGAGAGGAAAAAGAGAGATGAAGAATAAAACATAAAAAAAAATAAAAATTTGTGGCTGGTCGTACGGTATTGACAGGGTAAAGTCGTATCCCCTAATCAAAAGTAATACCTAAATCCTCTAACTAATGTAGATAGGGAAGTAGGGTCGATCTCCACAGGGAAACAAGTCTTTCTATTCCTAATTAACTAAAACAATCTAGATTATGAAGTAACCAATATTTATATTTAAATATGAAACTAAACTACTAAGATTGAGAATAGGGAGAAAACAATATATAAAAGGATCTAGGGCATAGGTTCACCAATAAATAATATTCCAGGGTAGAATATAATAATCATTCATCAATGCATATGTTAATCAGATTATAAAGGGCTTTCGCTACGTATTATAATCACACAATTAATTTACCGGTATTAAATCTCATCTTTCGAATCTCGACCTAACCATTTATAAATTAACCTGCCTATTGAAACTTAGACCTAAACATCAATTCTCATATGTCGAATCTCGAATCAATATTCTCAAACTCATGCATAAAAGATCAGGCCTAATCTAGTCACAGAGCATTAAATCAATCAATAGGATATTAATCTAGCATTGATAATCAACAACAATAAATTACCCCTTCATATTATTTATGGATCCCCACAAACCCTAGAAAGTAAACTACTCACACATAGTAGAAATTAAACTAATCAAAGCAATAAAGCAAGACATGATAAAAAGAATAAAGTAAATAACTAAGATTAAGAGAAGAAAATCGTTACCAAAATATATCTGGAATTAAGAGTAGAATTAAGAACAAAGGTTTGAGAGAAAGAAATCTAAGAGAATAATTAAGAGAGTAAAGAAAGAGTAAAAAGGAGAAGAAGAGATCCTAAAATCGTATTACGGAGGAGTATTTATACTCCGTACAAAAAATCCTAAACTAAAACAAATTAAAACGACGTTAAACGTCTCCTAAGAAATACACGCGCCCGATCGGGCGCGCCTTTTTGCTCATAATAATAATCTCGCGGTCGGCCGGGCACGTCACCGGGCGCCAGCCTCTTTGGCCGGGCGGCTCATTTGGGCCACTATTTGGACTATGATTGGGCTCCAATTCTTCGGGCCAATCTGGGTTTCCTCTTTGGGTCTTGAATACTCGGTCCAAATGCCCCGGTATCACCTATACCGAGCCCTCAATCACCGGTTCGATGGCTCTAACCGGCCCTGGGCTATAGAATCTGGTCGTGCTTCTCCAATGTTCGTGATTTCTCCAAAATAACTCGGGAAAATACTCCGAAAGCATAAATCCCTGCAAAAGTCAACCAAATCTACGAAAACACTAGAAAACACCAATTAGTAATAAAAGTGACTCTAAAGAGCCAAAAACACTACTAATTATGACCGAGGGACGGGGTAAAATACTATATAAAATAGACACATCAAACTCCCCCAAGCCAAACCTTTGCTTGTCCCTAAGCAAAGATCTAATCAATGAATCAATAAATATGCTTCACCCTAAAAAGTAAAAATGAAGCACAAACGATCCAGGGTAAATCAAATAAACATGCTTCAAAGTCAACCAATCAAATCCATCCAATTACCAATCTTCCCTAACAATTGTCAAATAGAGCAAACCACAAGAGCATATAGAATTCAAGACTAGTGCTCACGCACTCAACTCTCATTTTTGTGGCGAGTAAAAGATGTACTCGATCGCTCTCCATCCAACCCCTTTATGTGAACAATGCCCTCCCAACTCACACTCTCGTGTGTATAAAACAATGAACGCTCAATCCTACTAGTCGATTTAAAATATGCCAAATCATAACTTGCATTGATAAACAACACTTTCACATTCATACAATTCTATGCACAAAGGTCAGAAGGTCTTTAAAGCTTGTAATGTAAGGCTAGGGTAAAGGGTAGGATAAATTTGGGAATAAGTGAGAGAAAAGCTATGCTTAAAGGAGCCAAATCCTATCAAAAACCCATGATCAAAATAAATAATGATCATACATCTCCTACATAACCAACTCTAACATCAACCAAATATACTCCAATCATAATAAATAATCCCAACACTTACAATTTCACTCATAAGATATAATAATAAAGAAGTAGAGTGAATAAACAAACTTATTTTAAAACTTGAATATTTTTCATTGAAGCTCTATTATTTTTCTTTTGATCAACCTCAAATTAGAACATTTGAACACTTTTTTTCTTTTGAAGTTCACTTATTTTTCACTTTTTTTTTTCTTGAACTTCTATTTTTTTCATAATATCATGCTTAATTTTTCAAGAAAATATAAATCTCAAACTCATCAAAAATAAACATGAATAACAACAAAACATCTTCTCAAATCCCACCCAAATTGTGCAAATAATAAGCACACTACAAACTCCCTCACCTCACTCACTAATAGCTCCCCCAAGCCAAGCTTGGGACTAGTAACCAGTGGGGCAAAATAGGCTTGTAATATGGCTAATAAAACAACAAAAAGTCAAGGCAACAACATGGGTAGCAAGAAGGGAACAAATGTATCTACAATATCTGGAGGCTACCTAAAAAAACAAATGCCTTCGTCTTCCTCAATGTGCATAATAATGAATCATATAAATATTACTAATAGTTGCAAACCAATACTCAAATTCATTGACATACCAGGAACTATGGAACTATCACACATTCCTAACCAAATCAACTAGTCAAGCACTATATTCACAAGTAGTTGGACAAAATTGACGCATGTAAAGGTTTCAAGGCAATCAAACATCAAATCATGATCAACTAATCCACAATGCCTAACATCAAATACCAAGAATCAAAACAATTTTCTCAAGTAATAAGGGGCACAGGGAAGCATAATTTATAATTCATTGGAACGTATTTTTGAATTTTTTTATTTTTTTATTTTTGAATTTTTTTGTATTTTTGTATATATAAGAAAGCAATAAAACTAACCTAGAAAGCAGGAAATCTAACCTAAGAAAACACAACAAAAATAAAAGAAAAGAGAAAAAGAAAAATACCAAACCAAAATCTCCCCCAAGCCAGAATCAGACAATGTCCTCATTGGCTCGGGAACTAGCCCAGCATTGCTAGTCCTGATCATCCTCATCCATCGAGCCGAAACCCACACCTCCACTGCCACCTGCACCACCTGCACCAGAAGAGCTACCACCAAAATAATCAGCGTGAAAACTCCCTCCCCCGCCGGTCCCCCGAAAGGAATGTCCTGGCCGTACCCGAAGAAAGAAGAATAGTCAGTGTAAATACCACGGGCAGTGGGACCCCTATTGTATCCCTGGGGTGGTGGTTGAAACCAGTCAGGGTGAATAGCGTCGTCGGGAATGTTGCCCCGACGAGCATAATCATCGTACATAGGGTAGAGAGCTCTACCCTGGTTCCTCTCTAGGTACCCTAATCTCTGGTCTAAGGAGCCTACCATCCTCCTAAGGTCAGTATGTGAATG